CGGCCCGCCCGCTCGTCACAGACTTGTGCGCGTTGGCCTCGAGCCCTCGAGCCCTCCTCCTCCTCCTCCTCCTCACTCCTCCTCCTCCTCCTCCTCCTCCTCCTCCTCCTCCTCCTCCTCCCTCCTCCTCCTCCTCCTCCTCCTCCTCCTCCTCCTCCTCCTCCTCCTCCTCCTCCTCCTCCTCCTCCTCCTCCCTCCTCCTCCTCCTCCTCCTCTCCTCCTCCTCCTCCCTCCTCCTCCTCCTCCTCCTCCTCCTCCTCCTCTCCTCCTCCTCCTCCTCCTCCTCCTCTCCTCCTCCTCCTCCTCCTCCTCCTCCTCTCCTCCTCCCTCCTCCTCTCCTCCTCCTCCTCCTCCTCCTCCTCCTCCCTCCTCCTCCTCCTCCTCCTCCTCCTCCTCCTCCTCCTCCTCCTCCTCTTCCTCCTCTAACGATCGCCGCTTCATGTTGGCGCGGGTCGCTCGATGCCGGCCGGGTCTGGCCCACTGGCGGCGCTCAACCTCGAATGCCCGCGCTGGGGTCCCCGCCACGCCGACACGACACGAGCCGACTGCACGGAGACCGTTGGGGCGGCGGATGCAGCCGCTGAGAGGCCCCCCCCGCTGCCCTCGCTGAGCTGCAGGCCCCCTGCGGGTCAACGCCAGGCGGGAACTGGCTCAGGGGGGGGGGAACGTAGACCCTGAATCGACGGTACATCGCCGATGGATCGGCGACGGACGTCCTATAGCGGATCCGCACGATCCTGGGCGGCGTGAGGCGGCGTGAGCTAGCAGGTCCCTGTTTTCGAGGAAGCACAAAAATGGACTAGCGACGCATGGATTGGCGACGGGACCTCTTTCTGTACAAGATCGGCGCACTCCGTCGCCAAATCGGGCGGTACTGTCCTTATGTTTCGCGGGCTACCGTCCCTGATCCGTGTATCTGGCGCCCACGCGCCATATCAACGGATCCCTAATCCATGTTTTGGCGGCGCGCACACGGGGGTAGGGGGAAGGGCGGAAGGCTTCTTAGACAGAGGCTGCTTCTTAGAAGGCGCCGGAGGCCCGCGCCTTGTAAGAAGCAGGGTTGCGTCCAAGAAGCCTTCCCCCCTCCCCACGGTCAACCCGTCGAACCAGCACGCACGATAATGATGCGAGGGCCTGGTAAGTCCATGTCAGCACTTTGCGAGCGGGGCGCGGTCAGAGAGAGCGACCAAGGATGAGCCGAATACGAATGATGCAAGGGTAACTTTGGAAAGCCACTCATCCTTACTTATGAGGGTTGACTGTACCCACCTCTGCGCGTGGCCGAATGAGAGCGTTCGCCCGATGCTTGCGATCAATAGGCGATCGGCGGGTCCGTGCGTCCCCCTGCCTCCTGCGCTGGTGTACCCGCCGAATCTGAAGTGCCCAGGGACATACAAATAGCTACGCACAAATCCCAGGATCTCCCATATTTTCTCACAGCTTCTTGATGCTCGTCTTCTCCTCCCCCTCCCAAATTCTCTTATATTTGACCTCGGAACCGACGAATTGTTGTTTGTGTGTATCTCCTCCTCCTGGCTAATTATTGTTTTCCCCTGCCCTCCCTGCGCGCCGGCGGCGGCAGGCACTGCGGGGCAGCCGAGAGGGGGGAGCGGGTGGGCAGGATGGCGCCAGCAGTGCGCAGTGCCCTTCCTGGCTGCCCTGCGGGTGCCCTTCCGGCTCCACCCTCCCCCCCCCCCCTTGGGCGGGGGGGCGGAGGGGGGGGGGGGAGCGCGGAGCGCGGAGCGGCGGAGGTGGGAGGGGGGGGGGCGGGGAGAGCGGGCAGGTGGGGCGGGGGAGACGGCTGGGCCGGCGGTGGCTGCTGCTGGTCGTTGCGGTGCGCGCATGTCTCCTGCTGCCACTGCGAGACGCACGCTGCCAACGCTACGTGGGCACTCTGGAGCTGCGGTCCCGCCTCCTCCCCTCCCTCCTCCCCTCGTGGTGTCCTGCCGCGGCCACGGAAAGACGTGGGTTCCCCCCCCATGGCGACGGAGATCCACTCTGAGGGCCCCCCACCGCCAATTTGGCATATGGCTTTGCGAGTCTCTCCCCCTCTCGGCTGCACGCAGGAGTGACCCCAGGCAAGGGTGCCCTATGGTGCGCGACTTTCGAGGGCGTCGGGGAGCGCGCTTGCCGCTACTACCGAATTGCAGTCAGCCATCTGGGGACCCCAATGTGCCCACACCAGAAGTCACTCCGGCGAAAGGTCACTCTTGCGAAAGGCCGGCCCTCGGAGGTGTCCTATAGGTATTTGCCCCCTCCTCCCCCCCTGGCACGTGTCGACGCCGACAGTGACAACACGTGGTGGCGCCGACGGTGTCGTTTGGGCAGGCTGCGATGATTCTTCCACAGCGAATCCCGGCAGGAACCACGAGTGTCCTTGCGATCCAGCCCACGCGTCCTTCAGGGTGTTGCCTCCCCTCCACTCCCCTCCCAAGACCCCGGCGTCGTTCTTTTCTCTTTCATCGACATGCCGCGGATAATAAAGGCGACCCCCCTTTCACCCCCTCTGTATGATTTCCCACGGGGTGTACGTGGGTTCAGATTGTCCCACAAGTGGCGCGGGGGGCCAATTTTGGGTGAACTTCATGATTACCCCCAAGTTCACATCGTCGCTCTTATCTTCATACCATTCACAGCACCATGCGTCGATATTCGCCTCCTTCTCTTCCTTCTCTTCGTTCGTTCTCATATGACTCATATTCCTTCTCCTCTGTATCTTCTTCTCCTCTCCCTCCACTTCTTCCTCCCTCCGCGCTCCAGCTGAACTTGTTGACCGCCGTCATTGATTAGCACCCCCGACAAGCAGCCTTGAGTACTCCTACACGACGAGTTTAAGCCCACCAAGACTCCTTTGGCTCACGCATATAATTTGATAGGTCCGCAACTCTGACTTGTCTTGAAATCTCCTGCTCCTTATCCTCCTCCTCCTCCTTTTCCTCCTCCCTCTCCTCGTGGCAGGGTGAAACTCAACGTCTTGAAGAAAACGGCTGGGCCCAAAGTGGCCGCGCTCTGGCGCACTGGGCTCATGCCCAGCGGGGGCCACGGAGCCTCGGTCGCGGGAGTAGGAGACACCACACTTCGGAGCTTGAGGGGGCTAGCAGCGGAGCTGATGGGTGCTAAAGGTCGGGTCCAGGTCACTGCTTATGTTAGCACCCATCGCGACGTTAACTACGATCCCATAGTTGACGCTACAATGCCGCTGGCATTCCGTTATTGCTGTTGGGTCTGGGATCGTAGAGCGAACGGCTCCGATTTGCGCAAAGCTTGGCAACTCGCTTTCGACACGCTTGCTGCGAAATCCTCGTGGGCCCAAGTCCGAGGCCCCATCGGTGCCGTCATTTTGAGCCTCCGTCGTATCCGCTGGGACCTGGTGGGCCCGCATTTCATTTGCTCTGGCCTCGGCGTGCCTTTTCCTTGCTTTCGGCCTGACCTCATGATATTCGCAGGTTGTTGCTTGATGGTCTGAACCGAGTGCAGATGATGCAGCTGTTGTCGGCCATCCCAGAAGCCACGGACTCCGAGAATGTTTGGGGTCGAGCGCTGCGGCTGGGCGTGCTCTCGGTGCGAAATCATGTGCGCAGGGGCACTCTGAGGGCCCTGCTGGGAGGAGGGCTCTGGCCGCCAGCTCGTAAGTTGTTTACACGGCTATGCCGAGTCAGACAGGTGCCAATTTTCTGAGCAGAAGCCAGGCACGTTCGGTCACCAATGGTTTGAGTGTGACAGCGTCTGGACTCAGGGTGAGCAGGATCCAGAGGTCGCGCCGCCGCTGCCAGATGACCTGATAGAGCATCGTCAATGGTTGAAGGACTCAGCGAAGGGACTTCCGCCCGCCTTTGATTCGCTCGAGCTCGCGTACGGTCTCCCTTCGATCCCGATTGAGCTGAGTTCGGCCCCCACTGCGTTGCCAGTGTTTTCACGGGGTGCCACTCATTTAAGCTGGGGGTGAACGATTTATACCGACGGGTCTGGCCGTGCCAACGGGGTCCCCGAAGCCACCCGCTGCAGGTGGGCGGCCGTGGAGCTCTCGGCCCAAAGCTGGCCGATTCGGGCCCGCTACGGGGGCCTCGCGGGGATGTGCCAGACGGTCCCGAGGTCCGAAAGGCAGGCCATTCTCGAGGCGCGCCGAGTGGCCCCATGGGGAGCCGAGATAGTCTCGGACCACCTGTCCGCTGTGCGCGAGGACTCCGAGTGGGCCGACAGGCTGCAGAGAGCATCGAGCCGTCATGTCAGCATCTGGCGCGAGATGTTTAAGATCTATCAGGGTCGGCCTGAGAGGCCGACTTTTAAATTGACCCCAGCCCATGGAGATCTTGATGAGGTGTTGACCGCTGAGCCTGGGGGTGAGCCGGGTGGCGTGTCTCGTGTGTTTGATCTCCTTGAGAATGCCTGGGCGGATTTCTGTGCGAATTTGGGATCAGCCCAGATCTGTATCGCAGACGGTGCTGTTGAGGCGCTCAAGGAGCGCCTGAAGCAAACTAAGCGGACTTTTGATTTCATATCCAGGGCGGCCCAGCTGGTGGCCAGCAGCAGTGTGGTCGAACCTCGGGTGGCCCCGAGGCCGAAAAAACCCACGCCCCCTCTCGTTTTGCTTTCTCATGACCTCGAGCGAGTCCCAGACGGGTCAGTCCGCTGCACATGGTGTCACTGGTCAGCGAGGACGCCCAAGGCTAGAGCTCGTTTGGAGCGGCCTGGCGCGCGGTGCGAGCCGACGGCCCTGCATCTCTTTTTGTCGGCAGTCAGGACGAAGAGGCGCGGTGGCGCCCTGCCGAAGGCGCGTTCGAGCGCCGTCCGATTGGCTTTGTCGGCGCTCGGGCTTCAGGATATCGGCGCTCGGGCTTCAGGATAAGTCGTCGTCGTCGACGTCGTTGTCACCACCCTTGCCCCGAGCGCCTGACGTTTTCGAATTTCAGGCACGCCTGGTGCAGCCCGCGGGGCGCTACGTCGTTTGCAAGTGTTGTGGCGCCCATGCGCTGATAGAGCAGCCCGCTTTCCGCCCGCTGCTACAGCCCTGTCAGGGCACCCCGACCGCGGGCCAGCGCTGGTTCCGCGACGAGGTCCTGGCTGGGCGCGAGCCTCGCTAGCTGCAGGGCTGACGGTGCGGCCTTGACGAGCTCGGCAGCACCTTCGGCCCCGCGGCCACGAGGCCGCTGCTCCAGGCCCCTTTGGCGGACGATGCCGCCCACTTTCCTGCCAGCCCTCATTCGAATCGGATGATGGCCTCAGCCTGGTCCCTGGTCCCTCCTATTCCTTCTCCTTGTCCTCCGCTCTTTCTCTTCCTTCTCTTCTTTACTGATTCTCAAACTTAGATTCCTTCTCTTCTCTGTCTCCTCCTCCTCCTCCTCCTCCTCCTCCTCCTCCTCCTACTCCCTCTCCCCTCCTTCCTCCCTCCGCGCCCCAGACATTCCAACATCGATATCTGTAGGAAACATGTATTATCCGTCCTCCAAAGACCCCGAACTTGATTATCCCCAAGATGCGATTCTCACCGGCATAAGGTGAACGTCGACCCCGAAAGGTCTCGCCCCATTCCCCGGGACTGGTTTTTCATCCGGAATCGTTTCTGATGGTCCCGAGGCCCGGGAACGGCCCCCAGATGCCAAAACTAGCGAAAAGCCCTCCCGTCGTGTTTCCCATGCCTCGAGTCTCGAGGGGGTCTGGGTCCCCTCCTCCCTCTCCCGCCCCCGCCCCCGGGGTCCTGATGGCCGCTCGCGCGCGCGCGCCGCGGGCGGGACCCGCCCAGCCCGACGCGGCGCTCTCTGCAGCGGCGCACCCCGCGCAGATCTGCGGAGGTGCGCTCTCGAGCCAGCCGGGCCGGGGTGGCGGCGGGGCCAGCAGCGGCCGCAGGGAGGAGGGCAGCAGGGTGGAGGAGAGGACGAACGACGAGCGAACGACGAACGACGACAGCGGCAGGAACCACGACATCGTAACGCTCCAGGCCTCGCGGGCGCGGGCACTGCCCGCCTCTCCCCCCTCCATGCTGGAGGCGGGCGGGCCGACGGGGTGGCCCGGCGAGGCCTCCTGGCAACGCCTCCCTCACAAGGGGAGGACCCCTCCCGGTGCCCTGGCGGCCCTCCAGATGCCCGCCGACCCTGAGATCCTGGCGTCTCAACTTTTTCGAGTCTGGCGTCTTCGCCCAATTTCGGGCTTCGGGGCCCTCACAGATAGATCCAGCCGGCTCGAAAAATGGGGCTGAAAGATCGGGTCGGGGGGCTCTATAGAAAGCAGGAAATCCACCCTCATAATAAGTACCCCGACCAGCAAAGTCGCTTAGGAAACGCGCCCACGCAAGGGATCGCACAGGGCAGGGCTGTTTAGTAAACGTCCAGGGCCGTAGAGTAAACGCCAATAATCAGGGTCGGGGTGCTTTTGTTGTCCCCCCTTACCTCGCTGCGTCGGAGCCCAGGGGCAGCAGCAGCAGCAGCAGCAGCAGCAGCAGCAGCAGCAGTAGCAGAGAGCAGGGCGGCAAAGAGGAGAGGCAGCGGGGCGGAGAGCCGCGAAGAGGCAGGCAGGGGGGGGGGCAGAACGGGGAGGCAGCAGGTGCGCTCGAGCCAAGGGGGGAAGGCAGCAGCAAGAGGAGGCCAGAGCCATGCCCCTGCCCGCGCACGTGCGCAGGGCTCCGACGTTCTGGAAAAAAATTGAGCGGCGGGTTCTGGACCAATGAGGGCGAATGGTTTTCAACATGTGGCTCTCGCCTTAGCGCGGCGCGCATTCGTTTCCAAAATCTTCAAGAGCTTCACGGATTGAGGGCGGGTGGTTTTCAAATTGTGGCTCTCGCCCTAGCGCGGCGCACATTCGTCCTGAAAAATTGCAAGAGCTTCACGGCTTGAGGGCGAGTCGTTTTCAAAATGTGGCTCTCGCCCTAGCGCGGCGCACATTCGTTCTAACTGATACCGGAGGAAAACCCCAATCAGGGCTATAGGGCTAGGGGGCTATAGGGCTATAGGGCTATTGAGCTATTGGGCTATAGAGTTGTAGGGCTATAGGGCTATTGGGCCATAGGGCTGTAATGCTGAGGGCTATAAGGCTATAGGGCACCCCCGGGCACCCCCGGGCACGCCCGGGCGCCCGGGCACCCGGGCACCCGGGCACCCGGGCACCCGGGCACCCCAGGGCACCCCCCGGCACCCGGGCACCCCCCGGGCCCCCGGGCGTGCAGCGAAAATCGGCGACAAACCTAACCTAACCATATGAATCCGCTAGGACCCCTACAGGAGGCAAGCTCTGATTGGGGAATATTGCAAGAGCTTCACGGATCGAGGGTGGGTCTTTTTCGAAATGTGGCTCTCGCCTTAGCGCGTCGCACATCCATTTCAAAACTTTGCAAGAGTTTCACGGATTGAAGGCGGTTCCTTTTGAACATGTGGCTCTCGCCTTAACGCCGCGCAAATTCGCTTCCCATCATCAACGTACTAGAAATATCTGTTTGGAAGGATTCAGGATTATGCGTGTGCAACTGTCACGTTGGTTCTCTTTGTTGAAGTCCTAAGAATGGCGTTCTGGCACGACTCAAAATCGTCAAGACGCAACAGTCAGGTTGATCCGTGGCGTTGGAATCCCGAGAACAATATTTTGGTATGCTTCAGGGTCTTCAACTATCTTCCAACGAGGCAGTTCCATCAATGGAAATGAACCGCTGCAGGGCCCTATGAAGAGGGAGCTTGGAGGGAGGGTTTACTTCAACCTCGTTGATGACTCTTGGGTTTGCACTGGTCCTCCTCCTCATCCTCCACTCCTCCCCCTCCTCCCCATCCTCTCTCCTACTTTTCCTCCTCCAATCCCTTGTCCTTGTAAAGAACTTCTCCTTGTCGCACCCCCACACGTGTTTGCAGGGCATGCTAGGCGTTTCGCCAGAGACTTCCTCACCATTTACGCCCCCTGGAGCTCGAATTCCGCAACAATTTCAAGGCTGAAGGGCGGCTGAACTTCAAACGAAGACTCCCGTAGCAAGGGGTTCAAAGAGAATGGGCGGCTGGTTTTCAAACTGTGACTCTCGCCTTACCGCAAGCGCACATTCATTGAAAGGCGGCTGGTCTTCAAAATTGGGTTTCCGCCTGTGCCCCCCCCCCCCACATTCGGTTTAACAGTTTGTAGCGTCCTCAAGGATGGAGGGCGGTTCCTTTCCGAAGTGTGGCCCTCGCCCTAGCGCCGCGCACATCCGTCCCTGAAGTTTAAGCAGTTTCAAGGACCCGTACGCTTGTAGTCCCACGAAGGGTGTCCTGGCATGATTTAAGATTGTCAGGACGCAAGAACCACGTGGACTCGGGGAGTTGCAGTCCCAAGAACGGTGTTCTGGCATGGTTTGGGACTGTTACGAGGCAGCAGGGACGCTGAGTCGCGGCACTGTATCCCAGGAGCAATGTTTTTGTACGATTGTGGATTATCCAGCGATTGTCTTCCAATGGGGCACTTCCCGCCACGAAAAAAATGCAGGAACCTGTGAAGAAGGAACTTGGAGGGAAGCCTTCTTACAACGTCGTTGGCGCGCCTTGGGTTTGCAACGGCCCGCCTTCTAATCCACCTCTCCGCTCTTCCTTTCTCCTCGCCATCCTCCTCCTCGTCGTCCTCCTCCCTGTTCCTCCCTCCTGTCCTCTCCTGGCAACGACGACGACCACCAACACCACCACCACGAGGACGACGACGAGGGAGAGGACAACGACGACGAGAACGACGAGGACAAGGCGGACGACGGCGACGCTGACGACAATGCCGCTGACGACGACGACGACGACATGCGAGGGAACGGCAGACGGACGGGTGTCCGAAACGAGCCCCTGGCCGCGCGCGAAATGCAACCGTCGCGCCGACGAGCCCGCCTCCTGGAGGCAGTAGAGCCGCCGATTGTCCAGGGTGAACCAATTCTCCTTGGGGGCGATGGCGCGCGGACGCGGAGTCACGTTGACCCGAGGATTGGCGACAAGCACCCGGAAGGAGTGGGAAGGAAAGGCGAGGAAGAGAAGGAAGGAAGGAAGGAAGGGCGGAAGGAGGGGGAGGAGGAGGATAAAGAGGAAGGAGCAATGGAGCAATGGCCGAGGGCGCAGAAGAGAATCCCGACTGGGCCTCGGAGCAACGAAGGTGGACGCGGACTCGCACCCGAGGTGCAGGCCGCTGCTAGTCCGAGTCTCCTGACTCGGGCTGTGGCTGCGGCGCTGGGGCCGAGGGGGAGGGGGGAGCCGTGGGCGCGGGCCTGCACGGCGCCGCGGCGATGGCTCGCGGCACAGGTCTCCGACCCTCCTCCTCCTCGACACCACGAACGACCCCGTCCCCCCCGTCCGCCACCCCCGTCCCGACGTCAATAAGCGACTGCACGGCGGCCTCAGGGGCAATCGGGGCGAGCAACAGCGGGCCGAGCGCCTCCCCCGTCTTGGGGTGGCGGCCACGCTGGGCCTGCTGCAGCATTCTCTGGACTCTCTCCCCCCGCGTCCCACACACCCCAGCTCCAACCCCGCCCTTCACCCTACACGGCAGACAGGTGCGGGTGAGGCCTATCGAGAGACGGTTGGGCCGCACCGCGTGCGCGCCGCAACTGGTGCAGATCAGCACACGGTCGAGCTCCTGGATCTGGTGCCCTGGCCCGACCTGCTGGGGGTCACACGCGCGAGACGCGAGGGATTTCAGCGACGAGGGGGTCGTAGCATGTCGCCAGCACTGCCTGCATCCGAAAGCTCCCTCGGGGAACAAACAGAAAACGTGGGTAGTGGCCTTGCGCTCTCGGCGTCTTCTGGGGGCAGGCGGCAGCGGCCGATCGGCGACGGGAGACGAGAGCTTCGCCGCACGCTCGGCCGCAAAGGCGAGACATCGCATCCGCTGCTTCGCCTGCTCCAGCTCAAACTTGAAACCACGGATGACAGAGGCCGACCCCGCTAGGTCGAGCGCGGCCACCTTCGCAAAGAGGTCGGCCCACATGTTTCCGAACAAAAATTCCAGCGGCTCCCCCGAGGACAAGCACGACGCAATGCCTTCACCCACAGACCTGTGAGCACGGGTCCAGGAGAAACGGGGAAGACGCTCCAAATCATTCTCGTACAACTGGTGCAACTGGCGCCAAATACTCGCATGAGGGGCCGTTGGTCGAGCGTGCTTGCCAAACCACGCAGCCCCCTCCTGCGCCAGCGCCAGATGATCGGTGACGAATTCGGACGGCCTGGTAGCCAATTCGAGGCCTCGGAGCGCGGCGAACCTCTCCGCCCGGGGAACCGTTTGAATAGGGCCTCCGAGGCCTCCGAAAACCGCTTTGAACGGCACAGAATTGGGTGTGATGGCCACGACGGCCCATCCACATCGACGGGTCTCAGGGAAACCATTATCAAAACATGGCCCGTCTCCGTGCAGCTTTGACGGCCAGGGCACAGCCTGGCCCCCCATTCTTTTACAAGCAGCAGGCTGGGCTCAGGCGGCCGAAACTGGGGCCTCATGGGCAGGGCGTAGAGCAGGTCGACCGACGAGAAGTCCCACTCCAATCCCACGCCCGTTTGGCCCTGCTGCCAGATGCCCTTCCTGACCTGCAGAACGTCGTCGGGGTAGGGGCCATGCTCCTCGTCCTCCTGCGCCTCGTGCACTGAGCAATGGAACAGCTCGTGCTCCAGGTCCGCTGGAGCATGTCCGCAGAACTCGCACACCGCCGAGTCTGCGTAGCCCGCCTCATGCCTGCGAGCAGGGGTCCGCATTCCGCCCGACTGCAGCTTGGCCAGCGCACCTCGCAGGCCGTTGGACATCTTCTGCATATGCCCGTGCCGCAGGGCCCTGATCCAGATGTGCTGCATATGCCCCTCAGCGTCACGACGCGGCGCTCCTGGCAGGCGGTCTACGATGCGATGGCTCTGTCAGCGCTCGAGGCTCAGGTACATGTAGTGCTTGACCTCGCTGGGGCACACCCTGGCGAGGTCGATGCCCGCTCCGAGGTCATCGACCAGCACCGTCGCGCTGATCATGTCCCAGCCGACCCGCCTCAACGTGAGCCATAGTGCCGAAAGCGGGCCGCGGGCGCTGGCCCACGCGACTGCGGAGGTGGCTGCGTCGAACTTCTCTTTCAGCGCCATCCACGCCTTCTGCAGATGAGCGGTCGACCCCCTTGCCGCCCAGACCCACGACGCATACTGCATCAGAATGTTGCAGGTCGCGTGGATGATGGGGTCGACATTGCGCTGCCTCTGCACGGCCAAGTACATAGTGAGGGGGCCTGCACCACTGAAACCACAGAAGCTGCCTGCCATGTTGCGCAACTGCTTCAGCCCACCGTCATTGATGCCGCTGACCGCGGCCCCGTGACTCACGGCGGGCATCGCTCCTGTAGTCCAGAGCCGCACGGAACGCCCGCGGCCAGCTCCCTTCCGAAGCGCTGACAACCGAGGCTTCCTGGCATGCATCTTCTTGAGCGTGTCCTTCTGGGCGCCTCGCGCCGCCGCGTTGGCCGCCATGTCGTGGCCCAAGTACCGCATGTGGCGCTTACCCTCGATCCTCAGCATCCTGGCGTGCGCCTTGAAGTGGTACTCCGCCTGGCGTGTGACCGCCAGGTGCCCTGACTTGTTCAGCTGCAGCGCAAGACCCAATGGCTTCACCTCCTCACAGAACACCTTGGTAGCCGTGGCCATGGCACGTCATCCGCGCGCGTCAGGGCCCGTCCAGGAAAGCGCAACATCATCGACAAGGTCCCGAGGCCGAACCTCGCGAGCGACGGACGTGGTCAGCTTGATGCTGCGCGTGAGCAGCACCATCAACAGCGTGGTCGCGTGAGTGCAGCCAGCCAATATACCCTGGCAGATGACCCTGGCCTCGGAGAGCGAGTTGTACGCGTAGACCGTCCGCGCCTGCTCGTACATCTTAACCAGCATGTAGGCAAACCTCAACGGATACCCATTGGCCCTGCACTCCTCGAGTATCGCCTGGTGCCGCACCAGCTCGTAGCACTTGAGCATATCCAGAAGCACAATCACCGCATGTTGGCCCGAAAGCTGGGCCGTCTCCTTCTCAAGTGCCTGGTCGAACGCTGCATCTGTCGACGAGCGGCCGCCGATGTGCCCCCAGAACTCCTCTGACGCGTGGTCGCCCTCCCATTGCGCTGAGACTGGGCGCCGTGCCCGCCCCCAGACCCTCACCAGGGTGTTGAGGAGGGCGATGAGGCGCTCGCCTCCCCCTGGCTCGGGGAGGCGAACAAGCCTTGTGATGAACCGCGACTGTGGCCAAACTAAAAGCTGCTCGCAGCGGGAGAAAACGCGGGCCATCGCCTCCAGGGCGGCGTCCGATAAGAAATCGAGGGCCCGCGGCGCGATCTTGATCTGCCCAGTGCCTGTGCGCCAGCTGAAAGCGCGAATCGCTCGACGGACATCTGTGCCACTCAGCGGCGGCAGCTGGTCCCAGTTGGCGGCATCACTCGGCAACTGGATCGGGCCGTCCTCGTGCATCTGCCAGAACTCGTTCCAGTAGGGCAACTTGCGGTCAGCCAGCTGGTAAGCATGCCGAACCCCTGCGCCATAGTCGATCACCTCCTGGAACGCCTGTGGCTTGGAAAACTTGCGGGCACGGCTGGCCCCTCCGTCAAAGGATGCCTCGGCCCACGCCTGCCACCTGGACGCCACCTGCCTCATGGGCCCGCTGCGTGGCCTCTGCCTTGGACTGGATGCGATCGATCTGCTGGTCGAACGTGTCCATCTGCAGCTTGAGTGCCTCTATGCCTTGGCAGAAGAAGTCGATCGCGGCGCTGTCCAGGTACTGCCATGTATCCTGATTGGCCGCCATCCGCTTCAGAAAACTCCGGAACTCGAGAATGTGCCTGGCCGTCTTGACACACAACTCGCTGCAGAACTGCCCTCCACGAGGTCGCCGCTCTCGAGCATCCAGCCCACCTCGCTGAGGCCCAGCTTCGCCGCAAACCTGGGGCCCCAGCTTCCCCGCGACCTCCACCGAGACGGTCGCGGCCCTGGTGGGCCTGCCTCTCGAGCGCGGCTCCTCGGGAGGCGGTCTCGCTCCAGACGGTGCTGCCGTCCGCTCACCATCATTGAGTTTCTGCGCGCCGACCGCTGGCGGGGCGGACAACTTCGAGATGAAGGACACCAGTGCCCGCACACGCCGGAAGTGCCGAGCCCACCTGGCAGCAGTGAGCCACGCTGCCACGTCAGGGGCCTTCCGCTTCCAAGACTGCCGCTCGTCGGGCTCGAACTTGGCCCACTTGAAAGATGGCTCCGTCGGCTGTGACAGGAACTTTGCGGCCTGGGGTCCGACGACGTCGTATCGCCCCTGCAGCTCGAACTCCACTCCCAGCAGCAGCTGGCCCCACACCTCGGCCATGTCCTGTGCAGACTTGGCTTGCGCGACCTGCTCGTCGAACGGGCCCCAGTCAAGCGGCGGCCTGGCGCGCCCGACCTTGGGCTCCTTGATGAAGCCCTTGGCCTGCACGAGCTGCCGAATCCACATGGCCTGGGGCGTTGCGCATAGCCGCATCGTGACGGGCTGGTGAGGCCAGGTGTTTGCCTCCTCCATGACCGCGGTGCTCAGCCTGGGCACCAGCGGGGCTGCCGCGAAGAAGAAGAAGTCGATGGCGCGGCCAGGAAGCGCCTGCAGGCACGTGGGCGTCGAGGGCACCACCGCGATACCGTTGACAGAATGCAGCCACGCCAGAGTGCTCAACTGCTTCAGCTCCATGTTGAAGCCGCCGCCCACAACCCATGGCATCTGCATCGCGTCGAGTACCTTGAAATATTGATAGGGCCTGAACAGGACGGCCAAATTCTCGTGCGACATCTGCTCGTCCACCCGCAGATTACACGGAGATCATGACGAAGCCGCGCTTGCCGCCGCAGTTGACGTGGGCAGCGACCATCCTACCTGGCTCCAAAGTGGGCCCTTCCAGCGCAGGGGGCGCCGTGAT